AGGTCATATAGCCCTGGTCTGTCTACTTGCTGTACAGAGGTAACTTGTGGTTGTTGTGAAGCTGAACACTGAGATACTGATGTGTCAAATGTGTTAATGGTTACCCATGGCGGACAGTGTTTGGTGGAGCTCTCTGATTAACACAAGCTTGGAAGCAGGAGTGACATCTACTTCCATAAATAGCGTGCCTCCAGAAACCCTACGAACTTGGATAAAAGGATGAAAGTCATGCAGGTTTTGAGGACTTTCGTTCATAGGGTCACACTGAGTCACCTATACCTCGACAGCACTTAACGACAACAACAACAACAAAATAAAAATAGAATTCCTTCTTTTCCCAACACATAGGTTGAATATGAATATTAATATCTCCTAAGAGCCATTATCGTTGTTGTTATGTGAGACATTTAGTTGCTTGAGACTCACCAACTCTGTTCAACAGCTCCGAATCCTGCTCTATCCTGTGTCAACTGTATTGTCCCTAACACATCTACCTCCATTACCCCAGTGACTGAATTAATCCATATCATCAAGGATCTTCAGCTCTTGCACTGTCCCTGCACCTCCTTGCAAAGTGCCCAAAGTATATTACACAAACTTTAGAATTCTTGCGCATGGAGCAGCCTGGTTTCACCCTCTCTAGGACCAACCTGTTTGTTCTTCTAGTTGTTCATGGCATAGTTTCTTCTCCAACATCACAGCTCAAAGACATCAATTCTCTTTCTATCATCCCTAGTAATTGTTCAGCTCTCTGATGCATAACAAGTAGCTGCAAAGACTATGGCCTGGATCAGGTGCATCTAAGTCCTCAGATTGATATCCTTGCTTTCAGTACTCTGGAGAGGTCCCTGACAACCGACTTTCCCAATGTAATTCATCTCTCTGGTTGCTGGGAGCAGGAGTGTAGATCGTAGAGCCAAGCAAATGAAAACTGTTAACTATCTCAGTCTCTTCACTAGCCATCATGATGCTGCCAATTGGCTCAACAGTGAGAATCTTTGTTTTTTTTGATGTTGAGCTTCAATCCATATTGAAGGCTGCAGCCCTTGATCTTCTGTAGCAAGCTCTTCAAGTCCTCCTCAGTTTCAGCAAGCAGGGTTGTATCATCTGCATAATGCAGGTTATTGATGAACCTTCCTCCAATCCTGATACCACATTCCTCCTCATAAAGCCCAGCGTCCCAGATGATCTGTTCTGCATAGAGATTGAAAAGGTATAAAAAGACACTGTTATTTACTGGAGGGCTCTAGTGTGGGATAGTCTGTGGAGAGTTGTGTTGCTCGACCAAAAGCTAAGCTTCTCTGCCAGTTTAAATGTTTCATACATATTTGGGAGAAAGACAGGCATATTCATTCTGTGCAATTTACAACCTCTGAAAATCATATTATAATCATACCATATTAGTGATAATTCATGCTTGTAAAGTATATTTCCTAAAACCTTTCGTATTTACTCATGCACTATCATTAAATCGGAACTGACCCTATAATTGGATTTATGGGACTGTAAATTGAATGGAAGGAGATTGCCGATTTTTCTCCCACTAGTGAAACTCTCTAAGTATTATAACACCAGATCCATACCTCCTTTTTTATTTTATTATTATTTTTTGTGTGTGTGTGTGTACCGTCAAATCAGATCTGACTGGTACAGGAGAATACCTCCTTTTTATACTGATAACCCTCAAGTCCTTGCAATATTATCATAAAATTCTTCCAAAATTCATAGCATTCATGGATAAAGACAGCTTACATCAAAATGGAAATTCTATGTGCCGTAAGCAATTAAAACTTTAAAAACAAATGCATTCTGTCATTTGACAAGTTTTCACTGAGGGTCTTCTAAAAGCGGGGGATTCTAGTTAAGGTTACAGACAATAGCTAAATAAAGAATTAAACACATAATACTACTTGCTATGAAGAAAAAGAAAGAATAAGGTACCTACAAAAAAAACCCCAATAAGTGATTAAAATGGGATTGTAGAACTTGAAGTAATGACGTTATAGGAAATTATTTTAAGACATTTGTTATAAAAAGGAAGTAAGAATATGTTTTAGTTTGAGATAGAAGTAGAACTGAAAACACTTTTGAAAGATGATATAGTGTTTTATACTCATGTTGTTGTTGTTTGTTGTTATGTGCCGTCGAGTCGCCTGTGACTCATAGCGACCCTATGTACAACAGCCCTAAACTCCGCTCTGTCCTGTGCTAATCGCACTGTCTCTGACACTCCCATCCCAATTATCCCAGTCAATCAATCCACCTCATAGAGGTGGTGAGAGGTTTTATACTCATAGGAATGATTTAATATAGAAAGTAAAATGGTAATGCAAGACAAAATAAATGAAAATATAGGAGTTAATGGAGGGAAAAAAATTGGAAAAGATATTTGCCATAACAGGCAGAATTTTTATATTCAGGTAAGGGTGGGTTAGTAGATTTGAAGGTGAGAAGGGAATCTCTTCCCTGAGTGCTTCTAGTGTCTCAATAAAACAGAAGCAAATGTTTCTAATTTGAAATTCAGGCAAATGTTACAAGCATCGTTAGTATTATCTTAGGGTATTATAATATGTATTAGTAGGAGAAAGAAATATAGTATTGATAATACAGTGCTTGACACAGACACACATGTACCTCTATACATTCTTCCATTTACTGAACATTTCTTTTGTGCTCTTCTGATAAGTACTTAATGTGTATATCACTTATATTGAGTTTTACAGCTCCTGACTATAGTATTTTCTGACAAAAGAAACCTGTTTTTCTCTCTGGTTGTGTAGTTTTAGGGAGTTATTCTACTAATTTGAATACCACAACTCTCTGATAGTTGGAATCCGCCATACTTGGAGGGAGAAAGATGAGCAAAGTTCTCCAGTGTCACTCTCAATTATGAGTTGGTTCCAAATCAGTGGCTGTGAGGGAGTGGTGATGGTTACTATTAAAGGAGTTCGTCGTACAGTAGGCCAGAGGCCAACCAGCAGCACAGAATTATGGAACTATGTTCTTGGAGGGTTGTAATGTGTTCAGAACAAAGTTGAGAACATATTTTTAAAATTCATTTTAAGAAATATTTATAGTATAAATTAATGTTCAATTAATGAATTTGTGATTAGGGAAAAAAAGTCATGTGCTTTAAATAATGGGACCATAATATCTAAAGCAGGACAAAACAAAAAGCTTCTCTTAAGTCATTTAAAACTTTTAGAGAATTCCATATTCTTGTATATATGTTCCCCTTCTGTACTTTGAATGCTAATTTAGCTGTTAGAATCCTGGCCCCTCCAAAAGGATTAAAAACCAAAATAGGACAGTTAAAAATATTCCAAAGGTAAAATCACTCTGAACAAGCACTCTTAGTTGCTTTGTAACAAACCAGCTGATAAGCACTGCAGCCTGTTTGTACTTTAACCTGAGCTTCTTGGCAAGACGCCCAGTAAACAGACACTATGTGTGTAAGAATAATTTATGGTTGTGGTTAGAGCCTTAAAACAGTTCTGAGTCTTATGATCCTATGTAAAATAAAGCAAAACATTGCCTGGTTCTACTTCTTTCAGTAGTATATTTGTCTTTTAATACTTTAAAGAGGTCTTGTGTAATAAGTTAGCTCGATGCAACATGTCTTTGAGTTTTTGACTGCTCTTTCATAGGCATTGATGGTGGATCCAAGCAAAATAATATTCTTGTTAACTTTGGTTGTCTTTTCTCTGTTTATCACAGTGTAGGTCCATCTGCGAAGATTTTTGCTTTGGTATATTTAAGTATTATCCATATGGAAGACTTTACACTTTGATCTTTAGTTAATGCGTCGATTGTTTTTTACTCTTTAGTAAACAAGATTGTGTTATCTGCATATTACAGGTTGTTAATCAGATTTCCTCCAATTCTAATGCTGTGTTCTTCCTTATATAGTCTAGCTTTTTGGATTATTTGCTCAGTGTACGGATTGAATAAACATGGTGAAAGGATAAAACCCTCTTATCCGTCTTTCCAGATTTTAAATCATGAAGTACCCCTTTGTTCTATTTGAAAATGGCCTCTTTACAATTGTACAGGTTCTATATGAACATAGAATTAAGTGTTCTGAACACTTAATTGAACATAATTAAGTGTTCTAAAATTCTCATTCTTTGCAAGCTATTAAGACTTTGTTATATTTCACACAGTTGAATGCCTTTGTGTAGTTAATAAAGTACATATAAAGATCTTTCTTTCTCTGCTTTCAGCCAGTCCATCTGATGTTAACAATGATATATATTCCTTATACTATATCTTCATAGTCTGGTTTGAAACTGTGGTAGTTTCTTGTTGATAATAATTTATAACTCAAATCATTATCACCAGTATAATTTTAAATATCCATAGTCAACACTCTTGGCCTAACAACCAGGAAATTAAAAGACGTATCATGATGGGAAAATCTGCTGTTAGGGACCTCTCCAGGGTACTGAAGAACAATGGTGTCACTCTAGAGACTGAGGTGCGCCTGATACAGGCCATGGTCTTTGCCATTACTTGCTATGAATCAGAGGGCCAGACAATGACTAGGGAAGATAGAAGAAGAATTGATGCCTTTGAGCTCAGGTGCTGGAAAAGAGTATTGAATATACTATGAACTGCTAAGAAAACTAACGGGTTCAGCCTGAAGAGGGTTAAACCAGGCGGCTTCTTGGAGGCAAGGATTGTGAAGCTTCATCTGATATACTTTGAACATGTTGCAAGGAGGGACCAATCCTTGGATAGGGATATCATGCTTGGGAGTGTGGGAGAACAGGGCAGGAGAGGAAGACCCTCTATGAGGTGGATTGATTGTCTGGAGTAATGGGGGGGAGGGGAGACAATGAGGCTTGCACAGGACAGAATAGGGTTTAGGGCTGTTGTACATAGGGTCGCTATGAGTCGCAGGAGAACTGATGGCACATAACAACAACAACAATAGTAGTAAATATTGCTTGATAATTTACACAATGTATTAGATTACTTTTTTTTAATATACCAACCCCTTTTATTTTCTCTGTTTAAAATCAAACAGAAAACAAACATACATCAATTTTGCTATATGCTAACATTTTCAAAGTACATCATTTGTACAAGAGAAGGACTAAGAACAAAAATGTGTTTACAGAGTTCCAAATATATAAGCAAGTGTTAGCAGTCTCACACAGCTTTCCGATGATACTCAGGGGGAGCCACTTCATAATCACTGGCAGTAAACAAAGCGGCAGAATTCTTTCTCAGGTACTTTAGGAAATCATGAAGATAGTTCAGTAATAAAGCATGGCTCTTCTCATCCAGAGGTGTATAGGCCAACATTGCTCCAATTCGCACAAATAACCTCAGTAGATGTGGTGCTCCATACACCTGGGACATGGGTGCATCAGGGCGATCTGCAAGGATTTCTGCATACTGAGGTCTCTCAAATTTGTAGAGAAGTTGAGTGCCCAACATTACATTGAAGTATTCTTTTATCCCAGCCACAACTTCATTAACAGCATATTCCTTGTTATCTGTGTTTCCCCGAGATTTCTTGTAATTTGCATAATCTTCAAGAATGGAATCCACATTCTTCTTGGCAGGAAGATAAAACAGCTGTTTTTGCCTAGTAATTAAGTCCCAATCATCAACAAGCCATGGTTTCAGTTCTTCTGGAATCTTCACTTTAACTTCAACTCTGTTCATGAATGTTTCCTCATTTTTCAACAGTAGGATCTACACGAGCCCTTTTCTTCCGAGGAGGCTGAGGAGTCTCACTGGTACTGCCACCATCTCCATTTCCTGGTGTTTTTTGTTTGTTCTTTTTCGTTTTCACTTCAACATTCTTCTGTTGCAGACCAGATGTCTTCTTTCCTGGGGCAGCTCCTCTCATTTTCCCCTCTGCATACTGCTCCTGATTGGCTTTCTGAAGTTCTCGCTGTTTCTGCAGATTGGTGTCCACGTATTTGAGCACTCTGCTTTCTGGAACCCATTCATTCCAGTTTTTATTCCAACCACTGTAATGTATAAAGCATTTCACTTGTTTGTCCTTTATGGCAACCTTTACACACTTGGTTTCACAAAGAAGAGGCACATGAAAGCACAGCACTCGCTCACCCTCTTGGAATTTAGGCTTCGGGTCCTGCTTCGGCGCCATTTATAAGTGATTGGCCACATCCTCCTTCTCCCACCACCCTCGACTACCGCCCCCTCAGATTACTTTTTTTGAATAGGCAAAATAAGGATATCTTTCAGTCAGTTGAGTTTCTATCTTTTTTTTTTTTTTTTTAAATTTACAGTATTTTCACGCTTCAGACAGTCATTTTCCAAATTTTTTTTTGGCACAGATAAGCAAGCACTTCCAGCATTACATCTCTTTGTTGAGACTTCTCAATTGGTATTCTGTCAATTACTGAAACCTTGGTTTTTACCAATGCCTTCAATTTGGCTTAGACTTTTTTCCGTGTAGTACCACAGTTCTTGATCATATGTTACCTTCTAAAAGACTGAACATCCTTTTTTTTTTTGTACAATGACTATGCGTATTCCTTCTATGTTCTTTTAATGCTCCTTGAATAATTTTTATTTTTGCATATGTTGATTTTAAATGATGTTGAGCTGACTGCAACTTATAGGGACCTTATCAACAACAGATCTGAACTCTGTTCTATCCTGTGCACTCTCATCATCTCTAATGTACCCAAGCCATTGCTACAGTCACTGTATTGTTCCATTCAGTTGAGGATCCTTCTATCTTTTGCTGACCCTCCACTTTTCCAAGTATGATGTCCCTTTTCAAAGAATAGCCCCTTCTAAAAACATGCCAAAAAGATGAAGCTTTGCCATATTTACTTCCAAGGAACACTTCAGCTGCACCTTTTCCAAGACATATTTGTTTGTTCTTTTGGCAATCCTGTTCTCCAACACCACAGTTAGAAGGCATCAATTCTTCTGTCATTCTTACTCATTTCATAGCAAGTGACTGAAAAAGACCATGGCTTGAGTCAGGCTATTCCTTGGAAAGAGATACCATGCCTAGAAAGGTAGAAGGTTAAAAAAAGAGAGGAAGAACCCCAATTAGGTTGATTGACATGGTGAGTGCATCATTGGGCTCAAGTGTATCAGAAATGATGAGGATGGCATAGGATAAGGCAGAATTCAAGTCTGTTGTTGATAGGGTTCCTGTTAGCCATACTAAACTTGATAACATCTAACAACAACAACAATACCATGTCAGGGAGCTCTGATGACCAGTTAATAAGCAACTGCATTGCAATCCAAAAGGCATGGTCTGAATGCACCAGCTGCCTTGCAAGAGAGAGAGGTATCCTCCCACACACTTTATTTTCACTGAAAACCTGCTCAAGTATCGGTTATGGATTGCTTGTGACTCAACGGGCTCACAAAAGCATGCCCAAAGCATGTGAGACTAAGTTTCACCATTCTTGCCTCTAAGAAGCACACTGGCTGCACTTTGTCCAAGACATATTTATTTAATCTTTGTCAGTCCATGAGATGTTCAGTACTCTTCTCCAGCACTACAACTCAGACATCAATTCTTCTCTGTCACCCTTATTCACTGTCCAACTTTCACATGCATAAGAAGTAATTAGGTGCATGTTAGTTTTTGTTTTGCATGCTAGTTTTTAAAGTGACATTACTTCTCCTTAGTGTCTTGGGGAGGTCTTGACAACAGATTTTCCCAATGCAACACATCTTTTGATTTCTGGTACCAAGCGTCTTGATTGTGGATCCAAATATAATAAAATTGTTGAACTTTTAATCTTTTCACCAACAATCATAGTATTGCATTCATAGTTAAAAGGTAACGTCAAGTTCTATCCCGAACTACAGTATTGTGAGTGATAGAATATTATCCAAATACACACAAGGAAGACCAGTTAATAGGATTATTATTCAAATATATGCATCAGTCAAGGAGGAGGAAATTAAATATTTTTACCAAATTTTGCACTCTGAAATTGACCAAACATACAGGTAAGACACATTAATAATAATTGGTGACTGGAATGCAAAAGTTGGAAACAATGAAGGAGAAATGATTATTGAAAAGTATGAACTTGGTGACAGAAATAAGGCTAGAAATGATTGAATATGATAATTTCAGTACAGGACAGGCTAGAATGATTTAATTTTATATTTTAAATGATTTCTTTATCATAAGTATCTTTTTAAAAAAATACAAATGGCAATTTTACCCATGAATCTCTCACCTCATGGACTGTTCAGGAATCAGACTGACTACATCTGTGAAAGGAATTGTTGAGAAGCTTGATATCAGCAGTCAAAATCAGGCCAAGTGCTGACTATGGAATAGACCACCAATTACTCATGTGCAAGTTTAAATTGGAACTGAAGAAAATGAAAACAAGTCCACAAGAACCAAAATGTGATCTTGAGTTTAAACCACTTGAACTTAAATATTACTTCAAGAATAGGTTTGAAGCATTGAACACCAATGATCGAATACCAGATGAGCTATGGGGTGATATTAAGCATATCAGAGAAAAGAAAAACCAAAATGGATGTCAGAAGAGACTGAGTATTGCATCAGAGAATCAAGTAGTCAAAACAAAGGGAAGAGATGTTGGTGTAAAAATACTGAATAGAAGATTTCAAAGAACAACTCGAGAAGAAAAAGCAAACTATTGTAACAGAATATGGAGAGAACTGAAATTAAAGAATGAAAAGGAAAGAACTAGCTCTGTGTTTCTTAAGATGAAAGATTTCAAAACAAACTCAAGCCTTAAGTTGAAATACTAAAAGATGTTTTGGGCAAAATCTTCAGTGTTCCGGGAACTATCAAAAGCAGATGGAGGGAATACGTAGAATCATTGAACCAAAAAGAATTGGCTCACACTGAAATAGTTCAGAAAGGACCAGATGATCAAGAGCCATTGATAATGAAGGAAATTGCAAAGTTGCAATGAAGGCATTGGCAAAAAATAAGGCCCCATGAATCAATGGAATACCAATTAACATGTTTCACCTAACAAAAGCAGCCCTGAACATTCTTACTGGTCTATGCCAGGAAATTTGTAGGTTAGATGACCGGCTAACTGACTGGAAGAGATTCACATTTGTTCCTATTCCCAAGAAAGGTGATCTAACAGAACATGGAAATGATAGAAAACTATTGTTAATATCACCTCTACACCAGAGATGTGTCGTCTCTTTTCAATCTATATATGCAACAGACCTTCCGGGAGACTGGGCTGTATGAGGAGAACTGTGGTATCAGGATTGGAGGAAGACTCATAAACAACCTGTGTTTTGTAGATGACACAAGCCTGCTTGCTGAAACTGAGGAAGACCTGAAGTCCTTGCTTCAGAGGGTCAAGGACTGCAACCTTCAATATGGTTTGAAGCTCAACATCAAGAAAACAAAGATTCTCATCACTGGGCCAATTGGTAGCATCATGAGAGATGGTAAAGAGATTGAGGTTACTAACAGCTTTAGTTTGCTTGGTTCCACAATCAACAGTCTTGGCACCAGCAGCCAGGAAGTCAAAAGCCGAATTGCATTGGGAAAATTAGCTGTCAGAGACCTCTTCAAAGTACTGAGAGCAATGATGTTAGTCTGTAGATTTAGGTGTGCCTGACCCAGGCAATTACTTGCTATGCATTGGAAAATTGGACAATGTAGGATGGAGGGATAATTAATGGTTTTGAGCTTCGGTGCTGGAGAGAGTATTGAATATACCATGGGCTGCTAGAAGAACTAATAGGTTCATCCTAGAGAGAATGAAACTACACTGTTCCTTGGAGGCAAGAATTCTGAAGCTTCAGCTGACATACTTTGGATATGTTCCAAGGAGGGACCAGTCCTTGAATAAAGACATTATGCTAGGCAGGGTGGAGGGACAGCACAAGAGAGGAAGACCCTCAATGAGATGAACTGATTGAGTAACTAGGGTATTGGGGGGAGGTGTGTCAAAGACAATAAGATTGGCACAGGATAGAGCAGGGTTTAGAACTGTTGTACATAGAGTTGCTATGAGTCACAGGCAACTCGATGGCACGTAACAACAGCAAAGAATTTATTGCTGAAGATCTCTAAAAAATGGCTAAAACAGTACATAAATATAGAACTGCCAGAAGTTCAAACTGGGTTTAGAAAGGCCATGGAACCAGGGCTATCATTGTTGATATCAAATGGATTCTGTCTGAAAGCAATAAAGAAGAGAAAAATGTCTGTTTGTGCTTTATGGACTATTCAAAATCATTTGACTGTGAGGATCATAACAAATTATGACTAAAATTGAGAAGAATGGGAATCCCAGAATATTTAATTGTGCTCATGCAAAATCTATACCTAGATCAAGTGGTTATAGAGTAAACAGAGGAAGAGAACACTGTTGTCATTGTTATGTGCTGTTGAGTCACTTGCAACTCATAGCGACCCTAGTACAACAGCCCTCAACCCTGCTCTATCTTGAGCTAACCTTATCATCTCTGACACACCTACCCCTTTATGTCAGTCACTGAGTCAGTCCATCTCATGGAGGATCTTCCTCTCTTGTGCTGTCCTTCCATTCTCCAAAACATGATATTCCTTTCCAAAGACTGGTTCCTCCTTGCAACATGGCCAAAGTATGTCAGATGAAGCTTCAGAATCCTTGCTTCCAAGGAGCAGCCTGGTTTCACCCTCTCTCAGATGAACCTGTTAGTTCTCCTAGCAGTTCATGGTATAGTCTATATTCCTTCCTAGCACCACAGTAAAAGGCATCAATTCTCTTTCTACCATCAGTAGTCATTGTCCAGCTTTCAGGTGCATACCAATTAATTGCCAAGACTCTGGCCTTGATCAGGTGCCCCTTTGTCTCCAGACTGTCGTTGTTGCTCTCCAATACTCTGGAGAGGTCCCTGATAGTAGACTCTTCCAGTGCAATTTGTATTTTGATTTTCTGGATGCTGGTATCAAGAATATTTATTGATTGTGTAGATAAAGCTGTTAACAATCTCAATCTCTTCACCATCTGTCATGATACTACCAACAGGCCCAGTGGTGAGAATCTTTGTTTTCTTGATGTTGAGCTTCAATCCATATTGAATGCTGCAGTCCTTAATCCTCTACAGCAAGCGCTTCAGGTTCTCCTCAGTTTCAGCAAGCAGAAACAGAGTTGTGTGATCTAAAAATAAATGCAGGTTGTTGATGAGTCTCCCTCCAATCCTGATGCCTCAT